TGAGTTTATGGTAAACAACAGGAGGTGTTGATCGAGTTAAAGGATATCAACCATAAGAGTTAGTCGATGAGGACATGGAATTCGGAGGCAGCCATCGACAAACATAGAGGTCGACGAGCAAAGATATATGGTGGCGGGAACAGTTATCAACATGCAAGCCAGTAAGAACGTGGGGATGTTCAAAGCAGTTTAGGGAAGTTCTCCACAAAGCCCCAATGTGGGACTAGTAATCATCAATGGTTACACTTTTATATTTTCTATTTAAGCAAATGTTTGTATTTGTGTTAGGGGTCGTATTTATTCACATTAGAGCATTACACTCAGAGTACCCGCATCTAACAGAGAAACGAGTTCAGGCTTAACAATGTATGAATGCTTCCACATTTAAATTCATAGCAATTTCTAATTTTCGCATTTAAATTACAAGTCTTGTTATTTATTTCCTTTACTCTACAATTGTCTTTTACTTTTGCCCTTTTATCCAATATCAACCAGTTTCAACCCAAAAAAACTCAAAACGCTAAGTCTAGGATTATTGTAACTGACCATGCAAGTAACCTTTAATAATAGGCTAGTGAATGTTTTACGGAGAAACAAATTGGCACACCTGATGGGACATGTTTGTGTCCGAGTCTTCTTGTTTCATGCATGAAATTAAGAAGTGGTAGAAAAATGGTAGATCCTATAACTACTAAAAGGGATCAAAACCTGGGAGGAAATACCAGCGCGACGGAGAGTGTGGGTTCTAATCTGGTGGTTGTATCTTCGACGACACCAAACATAGTTACCACAACACAACCATTAACTGCAAGACCACCATTGGTCACAACTTCTAGGCAGTATGTGCCTAGTTTTGCAAGAGAGACACATGATGGTGTGATCCCAACTTCTGGGCAATATGTGCCTAGTTTTGTAATAAATACACATGAATATGGAATGCCAACAATGATGATGGCAGGATTACATAATAGTAGTCCGACATTTGGTGAAAATTATGCATCAGCATTTTCTCCATATCATGCTTCAGGGCCATTGGGAAATCACTTTGGTTGTTCGATTGAATTAGGATTTTCCAACCAAATCATACATACTTTCACCCCAAGTACTGTTGTTATCATGAGGCAACAAATGGATGAAAGTAACCATGAAATGGTCAACATGATTACTCAACATATGAGTCTCATATTAAGACCTTTGATTGAGAATTTGGTGCAAAGTTATAAGACTTTAGCAACTCAAATGACTCGCTTAGGGGATTTCTTTGGTGCCCCAAGAGTGTCAGTTCGACAAGTTGTGTCTCCCCCAGGTAAGGAACCAGTGCAGTACGGGGAGGTGGTCGATGAAGCAGTCGAACAAGAACCACTAACTCCCTAGCGTGTCGATCCTATACTTATGTTAGTACAACAACCCCTAGTAATAATAGTAAACCGAAACCAGAATGCCAACCAAATGGTCATGCAGTTTCGACGAGAAGCAGTGGCTGGAGAACAAAACCTAGAAGCCATTGTCGATCGAATAATGGTTAGGAATGAAATGAATACTGGTTGTAGAAGAACTACATATGTCTCACCATTTCCTGATTTTGTTTTACAAATGATGTTACCAAGAGGTTGGAAACTCCCAAAATTTACTAAGTTCGCAGGGGATGTTGAATAATCCACTATCAAACACGTCTCCAGATACCAAACAGAGATTGGCAATGTAGTAGTAAATGAGGATTTAAGGATGAAGTATTTTCCTAATTCCCTCATAAAGAATGTGTTTACTTGGTTTACAACGCTTCCCCCACAGTCGGTCTAAACATGGATTCAGTTAGAGAAAATTTTCCATGAACAATTTCACATGGGTAGTCCAAAATAAGCCTAACAGAATTGTCCAATATCAAATGAAATAGCACTGAGATGATAGACCAATACCTTAACAGTTTTAGACTTCTGAAAGCGTAGTGCTTTACACAAGTCCCTGAACATGAGTTGGTCAAAATGAATGCAAATGGTCTAGAGTATTCTATTAGGAAGAAATTGTTAGATACGCAGACTTTGAAAGATATGGCTCAGTTAGCTATCAAATTTTAACTGATCAAACATTTGAAAGTTGAGAAAACCAAGCCAAATAAGTACCACAAAAAGGAAAAGTTGCTCACATAGCAACTGATGAGTATTCTTCTGATGAAGACGAGTTAGGAGAAGAAACAGAGGTTAATGTGGCTGAACTCCAGCCTGGACCTCCTTATGCATGTAAGCTGTTGAAACCTTCAAACGGGAAAAACCCTGTCAAAACTGAAAAGAATGGCAAAGCCATCACCAAGACCTATACTTTTGACATAACCAAATGTGATGAAATATTTTATTTGTTAGTAGTTGATGGTAAAATTATGGTCCCTCAGGGCCTGAAGAATCCCCCACTTAAACAAAAGAAGAAAAGGGCATTATGCAAATTTCATAATTTTCTTGGTCATAAAACTTCTCAATGTGTTCTTTTCAGGGATTTGGTGCATAAAGCTTTGAAAAAGGCAGGTTTTAATTGGGAGAAAAGCCAAAGATGCAAGTCGACACTGATCCTTTGAAGGTAGAGGAGGCTTTATACTTAGAGCCTCTAGATTTCATGATGGTCGAAGCTACTGAGGGCCTTAACAGATAAGTCATAATGATTGGTGAGATAGAAGTTATGATGGTTGGAACTAATGATAGATTTGACATGAAGATGGAAGAGGGATCACAAGCAGTGTATCCTCAACCTTAAGAGAGTTTGACTGACTTTCAGGAAAAATGTAGAGTGAAAGGGTCGAAGGCAAAATTATGTCCAAGATGCAATGTTGTGTATAATGAAGAAGCAACTGAGAAGTATGAAGCTGTCAAAAAAGAGACTCTTAAGCAAGAGAAGCCTTCAGTTCCAAGGTTTGTTTTTGACAAAGAAGAAATCCCTCAATGCAACAAAGAGTATAGAAGATTGTTCCAGTAACCTCGTCTGAAAACCTTTCGCCCTCCGTCGGACATCCCACAAGAAAAATGGGTGGAACCAGTAAGACAAAAGGGGGGAAAACGGCCAAAGTGAAAAGTGATTGTACATGAAGCTGAGGCCCAAGAAAAGAAGGTTGAGTCGAAGGGTTATCAAGTTTCTCCTAATTATAAGGGGAAAAATCCAATGATAAAGACGCACTTGAGGCATTATCAGAGGAACAAAAAAGCTGCAAAGGAGGCCTCGACTTCCTAGTCAAAACCTTTCGAAAATACTAGGCGTGTCGAAAGCACGCGACCAGCGAAGGTTGCAAAACTTAGCGAAGCTCCAGTTCATAAAGGATCTTATCCAAGGTCAAGATTGAATGAAAAGGAAAAGATCACTGCTAATCAAAGGTTGCCTATGAGGGTATCTACTTTAGGTGACAAAGAGCTGGTAGCAACATAAAGCGTTGGATATACTCCAACACCTGAGTATACTCCTACATCTGAAGGCGAAGAAGAGGAAGAGCCTGGTTATGAACCTCTGCTAGAAGCTGATATGGTGGATGATGATTATGGTGAAGACTTCATCATTAATTATGGAATTGTGTCGATTCTGCCTGTAGAATATGACAGAGTGTCAGAGGTATCAGAAAATGAAAAATACTTCACCTCCGACGAGGCGGATGACAAAAAGTCTTTATGCTACTATGTGATGAATAGTGGAATGGTCGAAGAACAGAAGGCTGTGTTTTAGAAACCAAACCCAAGGATGTTGTATCATCTTAAACCTTTATTTACAAGGGCAAAGGTAGATGGCATGCCAGTGAATAAAGTGTTTGTCGATGGTGGGGCAACAGTAAACTTAATTCCACATGCTCTTTTTAAGAAAATGGGGAAGTGTGGGTCAGATCTTCTACCTCACAATATGGTTTTATCAAATTACGAAGGAAAAACTAGTAGTATACTAGGGGTCATTCAAGTCGAATTGGCTGTCGAAACAACAATCAGGTCGACTTTATTTATGGTCATAAATTCCAAAGCCAACTCAAATTTATTACTTGGACGTGAATGGATTCATGGAATAGGCGTAGTCCCAACGATTTTACATCTGAGGATTTCCATTTGGAAGAAAGATGGTGTAGTGGAGAATAAAGAAGTTGGTCATAGCTGCTATGATGTCGATGAGGTTAAAGGTGGAAAGCAATCTTTCGACCAGCACTTGGAATATGTGGTGCCTAGTGATGATTAAAATTACACTCCTAATGAAAACTACAATAGTTTTCTAAGCTTGAATCTTGGTCGTGGTTTTATATGGGATTTTGAAAAGGCAGTAGTTCCTAGGGAGTCGTCCCACCTATAAGGTGGCCTGTGGTTGACAAAGATAACCATTGAATGAGAAGTTTAGCTTGAAATCCGGCCTATGGATGAACGTATCATAAATATTCAGCTTTGGGAGCTGAAAGATAGATAGTTGAAGCCAAATCGACAAAAAGGCCAATAGGGCCTAAAACAATAGCTTTAGAAAGTCGGAGGCAAGATACAACCCTTTGGGGATTAAAATCCACTTGCTAATAAGTGCAAAAACTAGGTGTAGCATGATATAGTATGCCCAGATTTGTAGGTCTCATTGTATTAAGACTAAAAAATTTGTATGTTAAACCAATTAATGCATGTGGTTTATATTAATGTTTGTGGTTTTGACAAAATGGTCAAATCTCAAAAATGAGGGGCAGATACATGCAAAGGAAGCAAAATTGAAAATTTTGAAAATTTTTAAGTTTTCTAAAAAAATGGCAGAAATTTGAATTAATTTAAATTTTTTGAATTTTTTTGAAAGTTTTGGCTATTGACTATTTTGTTAGACACAGATTGGCGAAAGATAATCGTAAAAGATCCAGTCGATCATACAGACGAGGAATAATCATAAGTGCAACGCTAAAGTAGTGGTAGTCAAAATAGAAAACACCAAAATGGTAACCACTAAGTTTCCTAAAGGGGGTATAAATCCAAAAGGAGAGAGTTAATCTCAATAAAATGTAAATGGAAACAATAAATATTTTAGGAAGGAAATTGAGACTTAAAATCTTCAAATCGAGCTTTTTCAAAGACGATCTTATTATTGAGACGTGTTTTCTTCGTCATCAGCTCACTAATCCTGTCGTTAATATTTAAAGCCTTTTCGCCATGAGCAATGCCTTTCTGAATCTCATCGTCAATCTCGCTCTGGCTTGGAAGCGCTTCAGCTGAATCCAACAGGGTCTTTTTACGTTTGACGCCGACTATTTTCTTCTGGAGATCAGATATTTGGATTCTGTAAGAAGAAATTTGTTGATCAAAGGCGAAGTATTTATCAACACGCGTCTGGTTTTCAAACTCAAAGGCAATCAATTTTTCTTCACAAGCTTTACTGAGACCCCACTCAGCTTCTATATCGGCATTGTTAGCTTGAAGTGGGTTGTCGATTTGTTTTCTTAGAAAGAGGTCATTGATAGCCTGGCGGAAGAATGCCTCGATGTTGATAAAGTATTGAACCCAAGTGTCATCAAAACTTAGCCTCTTCCAATGATTGGAGACCTTGTCTATTTGTATCGGGAAATCAAGTGTCACCTTCTTAGATATGACACAGACACATGCGAGACTGTATGTTTTGACAAGGATGCAACCACACTTAGAGCTATCAGAGCCTAAATTAGAGGCTCAATTGGCTTCGTGAAAATGTAATTAAGATCTGATCGAGAGATGTTGCTGACCAACTGAGAATAAAGATTGTTGTCTTTGAATTTGTGTTCTAACACTGTGATACTACGACCAAATGATGTTTGAATCTCATTATGTTGATTTAGTATCATATGGTTCACTAATTTCCAATCCGCACACAAATCACCTTGTTGTTTCCCAACCAATTCTTCAGACAAGCATGGGTCGACTCAACTCGGTTTGTTATTGTATTTTCAAGGTACATAACCTGATCGGTCCAAGCACAAATAATTTTCTCCTTTATCTGATCTAAAATAGCACTTTCAACATATTTCAATAAAATGAGATATTTCTCGCACACCTTCCTTTTAATATGATGAATTACATGAATGAAGATTTGGAGTATAAAAATTATTGAGAATGATAAGGTTTTTGGATAAGGTTTTGGAAACTTTTGTAATGTTGATGATTTAACTTCAACAAGGGACTTACTGTTTTAAGCATTTGGAATTTCAATACGAATCAGAAATATATTTCTGGTTATATCAAAATACATAGGTGACAACATTTTTTTATTTTTCCGCACTTATTACCCGATAACTCATCTCCGAGTGATACTGGAGATATACACACGATACGATTTTAAATTGAAATTAGGGTGCAATTACATTTAGCCTGTCTTTTATTAATTAAAAGGGTGTGTTGAAAATACATTTCCAATTTATCAAAGTTATTTTTAGAATTTCGTAGGATCATTTTCTCTTGTAGGGTGGTAAGAAATTCTCTAGATTTATTTAATGCCCTAGATCTAGTAAAAATAAAAACAAAATATCTAAACTACACCATAGTCCATGTTGCCATCTATTTTTTGGAGGTTCATCTTTTTTTTTTATTTGGAGTTTGTTTGTTTTAAGTTTAAGAATCACTCATGGCTTGAAACTAATTATATTTATGTTATAAGATTAGGAAAAAATATTTTAGATATTTTTATGATTTTACTTTTGTGTGAAAAAATAAATGAAATTTCATTACCATAAAATTTTATTTTATTTTATTTTGAAAAAAAATATAACTATCATTTTTAAGAATAACAAATTCTACATCAAATCATTATTTTCAAACATCGGTGATGTTAAAAGTTAAAACAAGAGTTACATTTTATCTAGCTCAAATTTCAAGCAAATATGGTGAGAGATTTCCGCACAAAAATGGTGTAATAGAAGAATCTAAGGTGAGAGATTTCCGCACAAAAATGGTATAATCGAAGAATCCAAGGTGAGAGCTTTCCGCACAAAAATGGTGTAATTGAAGAATCTAAACGGATCTTTTTGTAACTTTTAGTTTTATGACCCTATCTTGTAGGTAATAAGAAAGAACCATAACAATAATATCATTTTTGGTTTAACTTTTTCAAAAGTCAAAAGGCAACTTTAGAAATGTAAAATTGATTCGGTAAAATTTAAAATATTTGATTTTTTAAAAATAGAATTGTTTATGTCTATAAAATTGTTCTATTTAAAACTAAAATTTGTAATTTAAATTTAAATGTCATTTTTATATCAAAATTTATTATTAAATTTACTTTTTTATTATTTAATTCACTTTTTTATATATTTATAACTTAAATTTAAATGTGATTTCAATTCAAACAAATATTTTTTTTTAAAAACAAACTGGAGAAAGAACCATGTGAATCAAAGTTCAATCGGTTAAACTGTATTTAAACCGTATATATTCAAAATAAGAAAATAAATAAATAAATTATTAAGCATTCTAATAAAAAAAATTAATTTATATTAGAATTTATAAAATAAAAGTTCTCAAATAAATATGATCCTAATAAACAAGAAGAAGACAATATAAATCACAATAATAATAAAATATTCATATTAAAACGTTTCATTTTAATCTTTTTGTCTAATTAGCAACGAATTTAACAACCGATTTCTGTATTTTAAATTAAGGAACCTAAATGAATCTTGACATTAAGATACAAGACCAAAAGGAGTATATTACCTTTATATATTTATCCTAATTGCTTAACTCAAAATCATTTCCACAAACATTACATTATTTTTTCTACATCAAAAAAATTATCTAAAAATTATCTTTGAACTTTTGAACCCTCCAATTTTACGATTATTTTAGTTTTTAATTTTATTTTTTATTTTAGTTTAATTTTATCTCAACTTTATATACTCAACCGTTTATTGATCCAAATTAGACAACATTGATTCAAACACACTAAACAAGAAAAAAAAACACTAACGATTTTGGTTTGAAAACAATAATGAAATGATCTCAGAAATGCGAACGACTATCAAGAGCCAAGAGTCACACCCCTAAAGATCTAAGTCACAAACTCTCAAATTATTAACTCAAACACATATTAGAGTTTTCAAGACAACAAAAAACGTAGATAAAAAACCTTCAATTGAAAATGTTGATCTTTAATTCAGAAATAAACGAATTCTCTAAACAATACCCACAGGCCAGCAAGGAACGCATGCTAAGGTAGACTTCTGTTGCAGATATAGATAAAAGAGAAAATGAAAATCAAATACAGCAGGAATATGATGGATAATAACCACAGCACATGATTTGTAGAGAAAGACTGTGATCTTGGAAGGATCTGTTTGGTTCTGGACTGACAAATTGACCTTGATTATTGATGAAAAATTTACACTGTTTTAACAAGAATAGAGCCCGGCTCTTTAAAAATTAACAAATATCCTAGTAGTTCCTCATTTGTGTATATATACATATACTAACCCAAATGGAAATATGATGAATGCTACATCATGTTGCAAACAAGTAAAATGTTCTCTTAACAAAGGTTGGTAAAGTTCTAAATAACAAAACAAGGTTTCAGCCATTACAAACAATCGTTTAGACCTATTTAACGGGTGTGGAAAAATAAACATTACATCACTGACAGCCAGTATAAACATACATTTTTTACAGCTAAATGGGAAGTATTATCGAGCAAATAAACTTCTAAGGCTATGTTTGGTTCCTCAGTCAATTGGCCTGATTCCCTAACGCAACAAATCCGCATGTATCCCAAACACAGGCTAATATTTTTGCAGAAAAAATAACAGTAGCATAATAAAGTTTAGTTCAGACTTCAGACAGAAATACTAAATCCTACTGCATTACAAAATCAAAATTTGAAAGAAAAAAAACTGATCACCAATTCGCCATTGCTGCACAATCTAAATCATTAAAATATTAAAAATTTAAGAAAAAGAAACTCATCACCAATTCAGCATTGTGCAGAACTGTTGAGAACATAAGGTTCTTGCTGCGAGGAACAATTCTGCACCTTCAAGACTGATCAGCACAACTCAACCGCAGCAACCTCTACCTTGGTGGTTGCCAGTGCAACTTGTGGGGAGTATTTTTAGAAAGCTTAAGCATGGTGGCTTTTCTAGGGATATTGGTATAGTTTAGTCTGTTCCAATTCAAAACTAAATTAGTGTCCATGCTTAGTTTAGGTATAAGTTGAGACTGAAAAACTATACTAACATGATTCAAATTTTCCTTGACTGAGGCTTGGACATTGTCAGAGGCACTTTATCATATCATATCTTGACCTACTAATCATAATATATGTAAGCCTAAGCAATGTTACTAACATGAACATCGGAATAATTAGCATCAAATACAGCTAAAGAACAATCACAATTAAATCAAACACCAGCATAAAAATCACTATCATCATTGCCGTTTTCAAGATACAAATAAGACAATCCCTCTAAATTGTTCAAACCAAATTACACTGAATATCAGATTTAAGTTATTTAAAAGTTTAAACCCAATAAAAACTAACATTTCCAGAAGAACACAAACCCTAAACTCAATCAATCATGCAGAATCCCCAAAATGTCCTCATCCCTAAACAAATGAAACCTGCAAAAACCAAAACAAAAGAAAACCCCAATTTGTTAAACGAAATTTTAACTCAAATTCAAAACACGTTCACAAATAAACAAACACTATTTCAGTTACTTACTCTTTGTCATTAAGCTTAATTTGAGAACCACCGTACTCCGGCAACAGAACGTGGTCACCTTCCTTGACAGACACCGGAATCAAATTTCCCGATCTATCTCTCGATCCAGGTCCAACAGCAACAACCTTTCCCGAATTAAGCTGTTTCGAAACCAGAAATAGTTTAGCAACCGAATCGAAATCGTTTAAGAGAGATATACAAAAGGAAGTGAGTTTAGAGTTCCAACCTGAGAGGTTTTCTCCGGGAGGAGGATCCCGGCGGAGGTTTTGGAAGGAGGGACGATTTTCTCGACGAGGATGCGGTTGAAAGTTGGAATCAAACGCTTAGCCATTGTGGTGGAGTTTGAAGATTAGGGTTTTAGTGGAAATGAGATTCTGCAAGAGATTAGGGTTTTAAGACTAGAAGAAGCAGTGGATCTAGATCAGAAGAGAAGGTTCTAGGATCTAGTTTGGCTATGGGCTCTAATGTAAAGCCCATGCAAAAGACTACAATAAGTTTGGGCCTGGGCTTTCATTTTCTTCTTTATCAACTTCTCATAAAATCAAGAGTGCATCACAATTTTTAAAAAGAAATATTTTATATATAATCTTTAAAAAGAAATCAAATTTTTATAAAAATTAACTATTATGATTTCATTGATAGTGTAAAAAACACTTTAAGTATAGTTCTATTAAATCCTAAAATTAATGCATAATTTAAAAAAAAATTTAATATATATTTTTGTAAATATTTTTTTTTGCTTTCAGATTCTAGTTGTTAAAAGAATAATCTAATATATATTTTTATAAATATTAAGTGTCAATATTATATTTGTTATTTTGTTATTTAATATTTTTATAAATATAATAGTATTTTATATGAGTTTTTTTATTTGAACATTTTAATAAATAATATTTTATTTGTAAGAGGATAAAATAAATAAGTGAATGAATATTTAATTCAATTAAATTTTGTATTATAAATAACGGGGTGTGACATAGTAATAAAATGGACTAAACCATGAGTCAATTAATAAATAAATAAATAAAAGGAAAAAATAAATAAATAAATAATTTAATATAGTTACCTGTGTTATTTAACAAATAATAAAAAATAAAGAAAGATAAAAACTTAATTTAATATAAATATAAAATCTATCATATAAGACAATCATATGTTCTATTAATTATTGTTTTGCCCCTATGATCAATTAGCCTATCCACATGTCTGCCTTCATCAATCAACTTTCTACTTTCTTTGTTAATCTTCCCATCTTTCTTTCTTATATTTTCAGCTTGTCTCTTCGTTTTCTTTTTCATTGTGCTTCGAAAAATTCAATTATATTTTATTAACCTCATGTCTCATCAAGTGTGTAGGAGCAGACTGGACAACTTAGCCTACTTTGCTTGCAATGTTGTATCTGCTACTTTCCATACAAACCTTTTATTTTGCTTCTCTCTTCAACATCTTTCTTCAAACCAAAACCAACATTCAACTCTTTTTCTCAGCTCTCATTTTTATACTTCCACGGGTTGTCTTCCTCCGTCTCTTTCATGGCTAGACCGTTCGAGAAAGTTTGTGACATCAACGATAGTAAGGAGTTGTGGAAGGAGGCGGTTCGAGTGGAACATAAATAGAGTGTTATGTCCAACAACAAGGAATACTTTGAAATGATTTTCATTGACAATGAGGTAAGTTTGACAACTCATTTTCCGGATTCTAATTACTCAGTTGATATTTTAATTTGTGTTTCAGTTTTATTTACCATTGACATATATTTTGTGAGCTTGTGTGTGAAAAGTTACATATTGTGCAGTCATTATTTTGTGATGTTTCATATACTTCCCTTTTGTTAAGCTTATGTATTTAAATTTATAGGTTTTTAGTTTTGGTTAAATCTTTTAAGTTTGGATAAAAATATATTAGGTTGTGTATGATAGACTTCTCTTTTGTTAAGCTTATGTTTGACTATAGGTTTTAAGTTTAAGTGTAGGTTAAAATATTTTAGCCTTTGGTTTGGTAAATATCCCTCATGTTTCAAGAGTTACATGTTTATTGTACTTCTCTTGTGTTAGAATAATACTTAAGTTTAGGTTGAAATTTGTACTTCCCTTGTGTTTGAAAAGTTTGTAAGTTTTCGTGAAATGAGTTAATATTGTGCATGTGTTTCCATTTTGTGTTCGATCTTATGTTTTGTGTTACATTTTACATTTTCTATTTTGTCAGGGGTGTGATATCCACCTTTTTGTTCCAACTACATATATGGTCGCATACAATGAGAAATTTGCATTGGACCAGACGTACATTGTATCAAACTTTAAAGTTGAGCCAAAACTTGAAACCATCCACCCACAAGTTTTTTGTGAAATTAACTGAAGGAAATTTTGTTTCTGATGTTAAGAAACACGTCATACCACCCAAGCAACACATCTTTACCAATTTCCCTGATATTATTACTGGCACATTTCAGAAAGATGTGTTGATTGATAACATTACATGTCTGGATATTAAACTTTTTGCATAGTTATAGTATTTCATTGTCTTATGTTTTTCATTTATACCTTTCACTCGGACATTATTTGTATGGTCAAGAGTATTGGATATGCCCAGACATAGAGCGAAGGGAAAAAACTACAGGTTAATTTCGTCCTTAGGGATGCAAGGTATGTGTTTCAAGTTTCAACTTTTGTCCATTTCCCATATCTATTTAATGTTTTCTAACCAGTCCATTGTACTATCTACAACAATAACACAATGAACTTCACCCTTTGGGAGGCATGTGCTGCACAACTCTTTAAGTTTAAACAGGATCGGGAGAATATGCTTGGGCCAACAGTGGTTTTGCTTAAATATGCAAAAGTTAAAGAACAGGGTTAGACGGTTAATCCTCTTTTGTTTTAAAGCACAATGTGTTATACTAATGTATAATCTGACTTAGCTGATTCTCTGTAAATGTGGGGCAGTATCCACTTTCGATTACCAACACGTTCCATGTTACGAAGCTCTATATCAATGTAGATTTTCCTTCAATCAAGAACTTCGTCAACAGGTAGCTTCGATGAAGTATAGTGTCTCCCATTTATCCAAATATTATAGTTTTGAATTACATTTGTCTTTTTTATTTTTTCATTTTGTCTTGCAGTATCCCTAATGAATTTTTGCATAGTGTTTCCAGCCAACTAAGCTCTCAATCTTAGTGTTACTCCTGCACCTCTAATTCTGATAATGTTCGACAAACTCCAAGCCAGAAATTGCTTTATGGCGCTATTACTCTACCTCTGAGTGAGATTAAAAAACTGTGCGAGGTATGTGTTACGCCTCATAGAAGTTACCCGTTGAATCAAATCAATATAACATATGCTTTACAATATTTATTTGGAAAAATACTCATTTTGGTCCCTTAATTATAGTTCATGGTTCACTTTGGTCCCTTATATTTTTTTCGTGCCAAATTGGTCCTTTAATTTTCTAAAAGATTCAAACAAGTCCATTCTGTCAATTGGCCTCCAACATCCGTTTATTTTCGTGACGTGGCAGGTGAGCTGGCAGTATACACTATTTTATCTTTTGGTACCTAGAATCTTTTGGGTCCTTTAGAATTAGTATTTCCAGAGTTTTTGATAAACTTGGGTTTATGTGCAACATTAAATTTTTGTGTCTGTGATGGTGTGTAGTGAGAAGAAAAAGGAGATTCAGGTTTGTTTTGTTGATTATCTTCATCAGAAACATAACCAATTCCTCTTTTCCCATTTTGACTGACACCATAGATCATGGAAGCCATTTTACTTCTCCTTATACTGTTGTTTAAGAATTTCTGAAAGGCCTTATCATATTTATATAAAATAGTTTCAAAAGACGGAGGAGCTTTAGAAAGAGTTTCTTCAAGTTTTAAACATTTTTTTGTATAGACAAATATTTTATTTTTCTAGAATAAAAGTGTCTCCTATTTGTTTAGAAACTTATTTCTCTAGCTTACCATATTCTTCAATTTCATATTCATCAACCTTCTGTAGGTTCTTGAATTTTTGTTGAAGTTTCTGATATTTATTCACAGATTCAGATAGACATAATTCTAACTCAACACGAGAAAGTTCAGAAAATACCTCTTCTGAGCCACACTCAGTTCTTGTAGTGTTTCCTTCTGTAGTAGTAGCCATGAATTCTATATTGGCATACTCTTCTTCATATTCTGATCCTTCATAGTTAGAGTCATCTCATGTTTCTTCAAGACCTTTCTTCTTGCTATTGGAACTATTTTTCTTGAAGCTTTATTTTCCGGTGCTTTCTTTCTTGAGCATTGGACATTCATTTCTGTAGTGTGCAGACTCCTTACACTCATAACACATTAATTTATTGCATGTCTTCCTCTTGCAGATGTTTTTGGTCGATCTCCTCTATTTCCATATCCTTGAAAGTTTTTTTTGTCTTCTAGAGTTGTTTGACTCTTCTGGAAAGAAGGCACAATTCATCTTCATCATCATAAACTTCATCGTCGGAATATTCTACTTCTTCAGCTTGGAAGGTTTTGTTCTTTTTTGACTTTATTCTTTCTGGTCTAGATCTTAGAGCAACAAATTTTCCATTTTTACGGGGCTCATCTCCCTCTAACTCTATTTCATGAATTCCGAGGGAACTGACCAACTCTTCAAGAGTTATATTGTTCAGATTCTTAGACAACTTCAAACAGTAACCATAGGTCTCCATCTTTTGGGAAGACTTCTGATGATCTTTTTGACACGATCAACTATGGAGTAACCTTTATCCAGAACCTTTAGTCCTACTACTAAGGTTTGAAACCTTAGAACACAGTATCAACCGTTTCTTTGTCTTCCATCTTGAAAGCTTCATATTTCTGGATTAAGGCTAAAACCTTAGTTTTCTTGACTTGAGCATTGCCTTCATGTGTCATTCATAACGAATCAAAAATATCCTTTTTTGTTTCTCTATTAGTGATCTTTACATATTCATTATAGGACATAGCATTGAGAATAATGGTTCTGGATTTATGGTGATTCTTCAAATCACGCTTTTGTAAATTATTCATTCTATTTCTAGGAGTGAGAATACCAATCACACTAACATGTGCCTCATAGCTATTTGTAACAATATCCCAAAGATCTACATCATAGTCTAGAAAGAAACTTTCTAGACTATCTTTCTAGTAATCAATTTTCTCTCCATCAAAGACAAGAGGCTTGGCATTGTAACTATCTCTTTCATTTGTATTAGCAGTAGTCATATAATTTTTTCTCACATTGGATCTCTCTACACGGTTAAGTGTTTGATTGAAAAATCAATAACATAGCCGGAGCTCTGATACCAAGTGAAGGTTGAGAAAAACACAAGAAATTG